AGGGGTGGTGGGAGGAGATGGGGAAAGGGAAGAATGGAAAGGAAAAATTATGAGAAAAGAAAAAAAAAATGGAAACATATGTAAATAGGGAAGGTGGAGGGGTGAAGGTCACACAGGTAATGGGGAAAAAAAGGAGAACCAAGATACATCATGTACAGGTACAAGCACCCAATGATAAATGTAAACATATTGTATACCTAAAATGTAACAATAAAATAATTCAGCAAAAAAAACTACACTGAGATTCCACCTTACTCCAGAAAAAATGTCTATCATCAAGAATTCAGGGCCAGGGATGTAGCTCAGTGGTTCCTTCGCCTGCCTGGCAAGCGCAAGGTCCCAAGTTCGATCCCCGGTACCAAAAGAAAAAAAAAAGAATTCAAAAAACAATGAATTCTATGAGGCTTCAGGGGAAACGAACTCCTTTTACACTGTTGGTGGAATGTAAACAACTACAATCACTATGAAAATCACTGTGGGAATTCCTAAAAAAAAATCTGAAGTTACAAGTTCCATTTGACTCAGCTATTCCCCTTCAAGGTATCTTCCTGAAAGAGCTAAAGACATAACTATTGCAGTGATGTACATATACCCACATTTACAGCATCACAACTTACAATAGTTAAGTCTTTGAAACAGCCTATATGTTCATCAGCAGCTGAATGGATAAAGAAAATGTGATATATATGCACAATAGGGTACTACTCAGCCATAAAGAAGAATAAATTTGAGTCATTTGTAGGAAAGTGGATGCATCTTGACATCATGATCCTTAGTGAACTATATCAGATCCAGAAGTTTAAATATCATATGGTTTCTCTCATGTGAGGAAAACAAATTCTAAATAATTCAAAAAGTAAAATTAAAGATGGTAGAAAACCAGGACCTTTTTGCAAATGGGAAGGAGATCTAGAGTTGGGAGGGAGAGGGAAAGTAAAAAGAATTAAGATGATATGGGTCCATGTACCAACTCCCCAAGATAAATGTATTCATTATGTATTGCAAACTTGTACTACTAATAAGAAATGTAACAGGTCCTGTAACAAAACCTTAATATTAATATGAATTAAACACCCTAATATTCTAAAATAGACTATAACAGTCAATTTCAACTTATCATTGTGTTGAATATTGTTTCATATTTTATAGCCATGCTATTAATTATAAGCAAGTTTAGCATGTTTCCATTTTTCTGATGAATCAAATATTTTATCAATATATTGAGATAATCTCCATGTTTATCTTTAAGATGTATTCTGTTTCAAAAATTTTTAATAGAATATGTTTGCAATACACAATGGATGTATTCATTATGGGACATTCGTACATACACACCTCGCATCTTGATTGTTTTACTTTCCCTTCCCCTCTCCACTTTCCATCTGCTCCCATCTCCAGATTATTTTTCTGTCTTCATAATTTCTTTATTCTTATGTTGTCATCTTTAATTTATCTTGCTTTTTAAATTATTTATACTTTGAGATTCTCAAGCTTTCTTCTTAAGTGTAACTATTGCTGTAGCAATAAAGATACAGTAATTATTTGCTTTGTTTTGTTTTGTTTTTGGTACCGGGGATCGGACTCGGGACCTTGCGCTTGCGAGGCAGGCGCCGGAACCACTGAGCTAAATCCCCGGGCAAGATACAGTAATTACGATGAATAGCATATGTATGTTTTTTAATATTTTCCTGGTATATTTTGTTGTGGTCAAATCTTAATATTTCTCTGTCCTTGCACTTCAGCAAGGTAGAATGAATATGGTAGATATTTGAGTCACAGCCATTTTTGCCTTCTTACTGCATTAATTTATATTAAAACTATTTAAAATGTTGTAACTTAGACATTTACACTACTGATTAAGAAAGGAAATTTTCTTTCAGTATGAGTATATGGGTTTTGATATGACATTGGCAGCTGAAAAAGTTGTTTTTATCTTTCATCTTATGAACACTGTAAGTATTTGTTTCACATTTAGCTAAGAAACTTATTAATACAGTAATATTGTTTATATAATAGCATTTTCGCATTTAAAATGTATAGTCCTACTAACAAGTTTTATCATGAATGGATTTATCTTCAAAAATAGTAAACTGGAGGCCGGGGATTTAGCCCAGTGGTTTCGCCGCCTGCTGCGCAAGCGCAAGGACTCGAGTTGGATCCCCAGTACCAAAAAAAAAAAAAATAGTAAACTGAATATATTAGGATTAAGTATAAAGATGTAGTATTATATTTGTTGCTATTCAAAATGCTATATACCTGTCTTCTACCTTCAGATGTTTTCTCAGCTTAAAGTAAACGTTATGCTATCTTCTATGGAGGCCTGGTCAGATCAAAATAAGATTCCAACTAATGGGGATGCTGATGATGTTCTAAAAAGATTTTTGTCATGGAAAGAAAACGTTTTGTTTCAAAGGTCCCATGATATGGCATACCTATTAATGTAAGAAGCACTTTATTCACATTGATAGATTTTGTATATTAGCTACAAAAATTATGTACAAATTTTACTATGTGTCATGATAAGATGATCTCTTAAAAAGTTTGTATGAGTATTGCATTGGCAAATCACAAAATACAACAATATAAGACACCAGTTAATCACAGTAAGTTGTTATTCCCATAAGAGAATGTTTACTTGGGAAATTTAATTAAAATCATCATTTTAACATTATATGAAGTGTAAATTAGTTAATGGGATGAAAAAATTGTCTACAACACTATACAGGTATGAACAATGTAATCTAAAACACTAAAATAGGAAATGACTGAGATGGACTACTGTGCTGTCCCTGTCATTACCTTCTAACATTTCTACACTGGATGAATATGTAGATATTGAACTACAGGCTTTGTATTTTTTAATTAATTTTACTGGTACATTTTAGGTATACAATATGCTGATATTCACTATTGGGAATTTGTACCTTTACTTAATATATCCTGGTTCTTATTTTTTTCCCAGTTCCCCTCTCCTCCTTTCAAGCCTTCCATCCTCCCCATTTATAAAAGCTTTGTTTCCATTTTTTCCTTTTCTCATAATTTTCCTTTCCCTTCTTTCCTTTCCCCTACCCCTCTCACTTCCCCCTCCCCTTTGGACCTTTTCTTCCTATTTCACATTATCTATTTTACATTTTGATTTACACTTTCAGTTTCTCACACCAGAGAAACTATTCAGTATTTACATGCTTTGTATTTTTAACAGCCTTTATATAGATTATCTGTTTTTCTAATTTGGAAGGATAAAAGATGAAATGGAAATTTGAAAACCTATTATATTATATGTAATTGTGTTTTAAAGAAAGCATAGCTTTATTTAGATGTTCAATTCAGAATGATTGTTAATAATTTAATGTGTTAATAATTTCTTGTGTTTCTTCACAAGAAAAATTATCTTATTTAGTTACAGAGACCATCCTGACTATGTGGGAGCAGCGTATCATGGAATGGCCTGCAATCCAAAGTTTGCTGTAGGAATTGCTTTGGTATGCATTTGGTTGCCAAGTCTTCATGTGAGATAGCATCCAATTTTGAACATTGAAATACACATCATAGAAAAAGTACACATTTTTAGATTTTGAAGCTTAAATATTAACTTTTTAAAGAAAGCTTATTAGGATTTTAAAAACACATGATAGCATTTATCATTGTAACCACCATTAACTGCATAAAGTGTTTAGTATACTCAAATTACTTTGATAGCACTCTTAAGAACTTTTGATCTTGCAAGACTAAACCTATGCCTATGCCTATTAAACAATCCCCATTTTACTCATCCTTCTGCCCCAAAGAATAACCATTGTATTTTTTTTCTATGAATTTGACAGCCTCAGCTATCTCCTATAGGTAGAATCATATAGTATTTAATTTTTTGTGAGTGATGTGTATCACTTAATGTAATATCCTTATGGTTCATCCATATTTTAATAGGTAATATGATTTCCTTCCTTTTTACAGGTAAATAACGTTCAATTTTATGTAATATGTTGTATTTGTTATTTACCTATTGATGGACATTTAGGATATTCCCATAATTTGGCCATTGTAAATAATGCTATAAACATGGGAGTGCAGATAACGATAACCCTTCAAGGTTTTGATGTTAACTATTTTGGATATATAACACGGAGTGGGATTGCTGAATCATATGATAATTCTGTATGTATTATTTGGACACTTTACTAATTCCCAGCCACTCTTAATCCCACAACAGCTCACAGTGGTTTATATCATATTCCCCACATGTCCGCCAACGTTAGTTATTTTTCTATAATTTAATAGCAACCAGCTTAAAGGTTCATACAAACATTATGACATTCATCTTATTTTATTTTGTCACTGCCATTTGGAGTAAAAGTGCTGTTACTCAAGTAGAATCATATACTTCTTTCCATATTCCTAAGAAAAATATTTAACTATAATAAACTAGTTTCTTAAATTTGTAAATTCATTTATGTAATATGGCCAGAGTTGTTTGATGAAATTGATGGGATGAAGGAATAACTCAGGCAACTTTTTTTTTTAGTACCCAAAGACAATAACTATAGAGGCATTTTCGGTCATCCTGGTGCAGTTGCTTGGGATTAATCTGGGGTTAACTTATGATAACATCTATAACTGTCATTGTCCAGGGACTACATGCATAATGAATCCCGAAGCAATGTAAGGTTTTATATTTATTGTAAATGTGTCTTCTCTTGGGAAATGTGGGTGGTATTCCTTGATGTATAACCTTTTGTAAAACTTCTGTAACAATATATTTATTAAGTACATATATTTAAGATATTAAAATTATTAGTGTAGAAATAGGCTTAATATTGCTATATTCATGGTTTAGCATAGAGAGAAATTGAATGTTGATGGCTTTCTGCTGTTTATGGAGACTTGGTAGAGCTGAAAATCTTTTCAGGATCAGAACATAAATTGAGCAAAAGAAATATCCTTATAAGGATTAGTAGTGAAATGTGCTGAAGCTAAAAGTAACATGAGTCAGTAACAGATATTGAAAAGACCAATAATTTGGGAAAGGAGAATAATGGGGGGAAATACTGAGGAGTTTTAAATCTGAGGTCTTCCTAGCATATAGTTCCATATCACAGTGGATAAAGGGTCCAACATGTGTGAGGCATGAGCACATCAGTGAGAATAAAACTATAAACAGGGCTTCCAGAAAGATGTTTTTAAGTGAAAACAGGTACCTAATTGATGAAGCTTTGATTACTTTTCATATGTATAGCCTGAATAATTGAGGCTAAAGCTGTGATATGACAGAGCAGAAAAGGAGATAATATTAGGACAAGAGCTGAAATAGAATGGCAATCTCCCCAAATTCTCTCACATGATACAGATAAAATGAGGATAACAGATGTAATGAATGTATAAAACATCCTCCCAACAGAATCTACCAAGAAATACCACCAAGCAGGGCGCTTTTCACCACCAAATTTGGACCTACAAAGCAAGTAACTGTGTCAGAGCACAGGGCAGGAAACCAATGGAGCCCCCCAAATCTTTTATACCTGGGCACTCATAAATCACTGGCTAATCCATACTCCAGAAACTTGTCTCCACTAGCACTTAAATATTACTAAACTTATGACTGTATAAGGGACAAAATTAGTGGGGATTTTGCAGGTTGAAAGTGATGGTGAAGGGACTCTGAACATTTGTTACCATGTTGGCTTAGCCTTGGTCCCGGTCCTATGAAATCTGATAACAATGAGCACATCTGGTCCAGGTTATGGTTTTAAATTCTCTTCTCCAGCAAGAACACTCTGGAGAAATGTCAGATTCTATGGTCAAGGCAAAGAAAATACAAATGATCCTGGAACATCTTGCTTCTAAAACAAGCAGCTGCTCAAAGAATTATGGAGACTTTTCAAGGGCAAAAATCTAGTTTGAAGAGGCTCCTCTGGTAGAAATCTGAGAAAATTTGATTGTCAAAAATAATAATGACTATGCTTATAGCCCATTAAGTGAAGTAGGAAATTATGAGTGTACATTAGTATAAATACATGAATTTAAAAATTTAAATTTAATTAGCAGTGCAATATTTATATAAAACCAAACTATTCCTTTCCAAATAATTACTAACTGAAGAGAATTAAAAAGTAATTTTACAGTGAAGACTGGTAAACACACATTAAGAATTTGATCAAAGTAGTTTTTTTCAATAACAGAACAAATTGAAATCATGTTACACTGTTTAGGATGCAGAGATGAAATGTAGCACACTTCTGTGATGATGTCACCAAAATGTGTAACTTCTGTCTAATCATGAAAAAATACATCACAGTCTCCACTGAGGGACAGTCTGCCAACTGACCTGTCATCATCAAACTTTTTAAGGTCATGAAAAGAATGACCAATAAAAGAAAAGAAGTTAGGGCCAGGGACTTAGCTCAGTGGTTCCGCCGCCTGCCTCACAAGCACAAAATCCCAAGTTCAATCCCTGGTACAAAAAAAAAAAAGAAGAAGAAATTAAAGAGACATAAGAACTAAATTATGATTTATTCTAAACTCAACATTTTTGTTATAAAATATTCAAATATTGTGATATTTGGGGAATTTAGAATATTGTTCTAGTATTGGATGTTAAAAATGAATCATTATTTCCTATTTTGACAGTCCAATGTGCTGATATAAGAAAATTAATTTGTATGAGGACTATGTTAAAGTATTTGGCATTATTTTGATATCATATTGGTGTCTTACTCTTAACTGTTTAGGAAATGATTATCCTTTTATAATTTTGAATCATTTTTTAAAGGTTGAGATTGTTAAAAAGTTAGGCAAAATTTTATTAAATACCCTTTAACATGGAAATATAAGTAAAAACATAAACTGAATCTAAGGATCATAGATGTTATGTGCCTTGCTGCTGAATTATTTCATTTGGTTAATTTTGGTATCAAAGAATATATAATTAATGTATAATCATGATTTTTCATTAACACAATTGATCATCTTTCAACCCTTGAAGTTTTTCATGTACATTTTACAGTGCTTTCCATTTTTAGTGATAAATGAGGCTTTTATAGTGATGATTATAATAATGAAAACAAGAAATAGTGGGACATACACAAATACAAGTCATTGTACTAAGGACTGTGATGTGTTTTAGCATATTCTAGCTCATAGCACTAACTTCTATTTTCTATCCATTTAGTAGACTGAGTGACAGTTTAAAAGAATGCATTTCTTTTGTTTACATGTTTCAATAAAAATAAAAACATGTTCCCCTCCTTCCTGGCTGTTCTCTAAGTAATGAAGTCCAGGATTCATAGTACGTTTTAAAAATTACTACTTTGACACTGATTTGATTTCATGAGATATATCATTTAATTTTAGACATTCCAGTGGCATAAAGCCTTTTAGCAGTTGCAGTGTGGATGAATTGAAGCGGCTGGTCTCAAGACCTGAACTTGGATGTCTTCAAAATCAAACAGTCTCAAAAGTGGTTTATGAAGCACAAAGTGGAAGGTGTGGCAATGGAAGTTTGGAATCCTCAGAGGAATGTGATTGCGGCTTGCAAGATGTGAGCTTTTCATAGCTTATTCAGAGACTTTTTTTTTTATGTGTTTCTCATGTAGACTTTTAAATATATCAATCCAACATAAAAGGGAAGAAATTTTTAAAAATAATATATCATATTTTCAAGTATCTAAGAAAAGAATTACTGGCACATGTGATAACTAATCCTGAATTTGAAGAATTTGATGAGTTTAAATACTGGGAAAGTAGTGTAAAAAATATCATTTCTTTATCATGTAACTGTTAGTAGCAATGTCATTGTTCTGTACTGTAAACATGAGTAATCAGTAGTCAGTAATAATTTTTGTTTGTTTTTTGAAACAGGTTCTTGCTTTGTAGTTCATGTTGGCCTTGAACTCACTATGTAGCCTAGGCTGGCCTCAAACCTGTGGCAATCTTCCTACCTCATCCTCTCTGAATGCTAGGCTTACAAGTGTGTGCCACCATACCCAACTAGTAGTCAGTAATACTGATCCCCAACCTCCAAAATTCCTCTCAATTGATCATATTGGCTCATTAGATTATTAAACATGTTGTCATTTATGTCCTCATCTCTTAGTTTTGTTCCTTGTATCTGAGGAAACTTCATTTATTTTTACTGTGTTCTTGTTACAGTGCTAGGGGTCATACCCAAGGTCTCATACATGTTAGGCATGCCCTCTATCACAGAGCCCCAATCCCAGACCTGGGACTTCAATTACAATGTTCATGATCCAATAGCATTACAGCATAGAAATGTAGCATAATAATCTGGTTGTAACATGGTTTTTCTTAGTCACATCTTATTAAAAGTGGAAATCTCCATTACTGCTTAGGAAAAACAAAAGTAGACTTTTTAGCACATTAACAATAAAATATTAGTTTTTAAAATGTTAGCATTGTTGCCTTCTACATTACTAATTTTTAAATATTACTGTCAGTCTTTGAAATATCACCCTACCTGTACATAAGACAAGAGCATATTATAAAGAACTATTAATATTCTTGTATATCTATTTAGTAACTTGTAGCATTAATCTTGAATGTAAAATTATAGAATTTTTATAATGATAAAAATGTCCTTGAAACATTATATACAATAAAAATATTGTTCTAATTTAGAAACCCCCATTTGACACATCTATCAAATTTCATATGGCATATTGTTTGTGGTAAACTTTTCTTATGAGAGTATGTGCTAAAATAATGATCAAAAATATTGTACAGAAAATATGTAAACCAGTGACCCAGTCATTTATATTATCAAGTATTATACACTGTGCATGATTGTGTGTTATACTTTTATATGCCTTCAGTAAGTAGGTTTGTTTATACCATCACCATAGACACATGAGAAATGTGTTGCACTGCAATGTTATGATAGCCACAAAGTCTCCAAGCAATAGAAATTTCTCAGCTGCATTGTACTTTTATGGAACAACCAATCCATATGTGTATTCCACTGTTGAATGAATCATCATCCTGCAGTGCATGACCATATTCCAAAAATGGTATCATGAAAAGACATGATAATGTGGAAAATATTTGTGATGCAAAAATTGTTAAAAATCGCTGTACATATATTTATAAACAAGAAGACTGAAAATAATTTCATTAAATTTTTAGCAGTAAAATTTCTGGACCATGGAATTAATAATTTGATCACCATGGGGGAAAAATTTCAAATCAAATAAAGCAATATTAAAAGTAGGTACCAAGTGCCGGGGATTTAGCTCAGTGGCACCGCACCTGCCTGGTAAATGCAAGGTCCTGAGTTCAATTTCCAGTACCAAAAAAAAAAAAAAAAATAGGTGCTGAAGTCAATAATCATACTGTGATTACAGTTAACTTAGGACATGGTTTAGTATATTTTGAAAGTGAAATTAATTATTTGATGGAAAATTCTTATGTTTAATATTACTGTGTTTCATTTTAGACATGCAAATACAAAAAGTGCTGTGATCCTAAAACATGTTTCCTAATTGGAAGTGCAGAGTGTGGAACTGGCCCATGCTGTAATCCAAAAACTTGCAGTGTAAGCTTCCAAAATATTACATTTTATATTTCTCATAACTTTTTATCACTGTGCATTTTTTCACTTTTAAATTCTTTTAAATATGAAAATGTTTTATGGTAATTTTTGTTTTTTCTTTGGTTTCTTTGGCTAATTGTTAATAGCACATATATATAGTATTTTATATATATAGTATTTTTATATTTTTTTATATATATAGTATTTTTATAGTATTTATATTATTTCATTTATTTTCACAGTAATTGCTTTCTTCTGATGGTAAATTATAGAAATCTAACTCCTACCCAACTGATTTCAGAACTCAAAGACATCCATAAGTCTCTATCAGCGTATATTTTTTAGCTCTGCTTTTCACTGTGTGGCTTCAATCTGTACTGAAAACCATCCAGTTGTTGCATGGAAGATTAATTTCAAATTATTTTAATGCTATGAATTCTTCTTGGTCTTGTCTGTATGTAGCTTTTCATGATCATGCAATTTGTATCAAAATTTTGCATCAACCACTCAATATATACACACTGGTGTGCAATGTTCTGATAAACAGAAAATAATAACAACTCTCACTTTGAAAATAGATGTAAAAGAATCAATGTGGAGGAGTTAGCGATGGGTAGTATAACAAACACTGAAGGAGAGCTTGGGAACGTGTCTGTTTTCATGATGTGGACTAGTGATTAAGGACAATGCCTATTTGTTTCATGAACAGAGAGGCATGGTACATGAATAGAGTGGGGAGCCTAGGGTTTCTCCTTCTCAGAAATAGACCTTATGGCTTTTCCCACCAACAGAGCTCTTGATTGGAACTCTTTCTCCAAAGTTAGTGGGATTGTACACTAAGTCTTTTCCAAATGATCCACTGCCATTTGTCTATATCTTAAAGGGTAGATGTTTAAAATGGTGATAATTGCTACATTTAGTAGAATGAAAATTCAGTGAAGTTGCTTGGGAGGGCCTAAGTGATGACAAAGTGCACTGTATTAGTTCACATTAACTTTATTACATGTCACAGCATAGATTTTGACTTTTTGCTCTTTGAAGGCCCATAGGCCTCATATACACTTCTCAATTTTATTTGCCTTAAGTGTGAAAAGTTCCCTATTTTCTTCTCTGTCTACTCTCAAAGAAATGAGTTTCCACAGAGGTTGTACAAAATTGAGAAATTTAATCACTTCTCGGCCTTTTGGCTAAGATCTAGTGCAAAATTGAGAAATTCAGTCTCATTTTTTTTTACAAATTTTCAGCTTAAGAGGGACAACTCTACCTAATCAGTACTTAGATCCTCCTATATGCAATTTCTGAAACATTTTAATAGGTCCTGTACACTCTCTTTTATATATTAAATTGTTGTGTCTGGATGGTAAATGGCACTTAGAAAGCCTAAAGAAAAGATGAGTGTAGGTTCATGCTAAAGTGACTCTTTGTTTCCAACATTAACAACAGGATTTTCATTGTAACCATCTCCTGTCTATATTTGAATGTTGCTCACCAGTCTCAAATAAACTTTCTGCATATGCGATATTGATGAGTTACTGAAACTCCTTGCTTTTTCAATTTATGGTGTACAATACTTCAGAGGAGTAAGGATATCTTCTGTTTCCCAACATCCATCTCAATCCGTGGTAGTGGAGGAAAGCCTGGTTGATTGATTTCCTTTTGCTGCACTCAGCAATGTGCCAACAGTGAAGTGTTATAATGGTCATCCAGAGTAGGAAGCAGGTTGATGATCCCCTAATGGTTGCCACGGAGCAGGTTCTGAAAAGGAATCATTTGCAATGAAAAATGTAAAAGATGTCCATTGAGCATTTTAATTTCATTAAGCATAAATATCTGCTATTTATTTTAAAGAGAATATTCATGATGTCCAAAGCATTTTAACTATGAAAACTTGTTTCCCACTGTGTTTAAATTCACATTATTTTAAAGTGAACAATCCAGTACAGCAGTTAGTACATTCACAATGTTGTGCAACCACCACTACTGTGTAGTTTCAAAACATGTTCCACACTCCAAAAAGAAACCTTGCTCATTAAGCAGTTACTCACATTGTCCCTGACAGTCTGCATTCTGTCTCTGTGAATGTACCTATTCTGGATATATCCTGTAAGTAGATTCCTATAAAATGTGACCTTTTGTGATTGGCTTTAATTTAGCATAGTCATCTTAAGGTTCATCCAACTTGTAACATATATAAATATGCCATTCTTTTTTTTTTTTTTTTTTTTGAGGCAGGGTCTCCTCTGTAGTTCAGGCTGGCCCTGAACTCACTATGTAGCCCAGGCTGGCCTCAAACTCCCAGTGAT